GTTCTCTAGATCTTTGATCTAGATTCTGGCATTGAGAAGGGGGTTGGACTTGATGGCCCTAGAAGGCCCTTCCAGCTCCATTTTTCGATGATTCTAGAGGGTGCAGGACTGGCAGAGTCTAACCTTGCTGATGGCATTATTTCAGGGCTTCATGCAGGGGAAGGTCTCCATCACCCACTGCCTGGCCCTTCGGGAACCTTCTACTTGCCAATCAGAGTGGCCAGGGGTGCTGTTTGAAGGACCTCCAGGCACCAGCCCTCTTTCTGAAGGTGCCTTCTATTTGAAAGACTCTTGAGTAGGAGTCTGGTGTAAAGAACTCTAGGGCAGGAGATGCTGGACCTTAACGTTGGCCATCCACACTTACTAGACAGCCAAACCAGCAAAAGTCCTGGGCTTCTGCCTCTGGTCTTCTTCATTGGCGACATGTTTTAATTCTGCTTCAGTTACTGAAAGAGTCATTTCTACACCTAACATGTTCTGTAGCAGCTACCATGTTCTCTAGACTCACAAAGAGAGTATGGCTTAACAAGAAGCTGACGGGATAAACTAAGATCCAGGTCTATAGAGCCTGTGTCCTGAGCACACTCCTGTACTGCAGTGAGTCCTGGACCCTTTGTGCACGGCAGGAGAGGAAGCTGAACACGTTCCATGTGCATTGTCTCTGGTGCATTTTTGGTATCACCTGGCAAGACAAAGTCCCAAATAGAGTAGTCCTAGAACGAGCTGGAATTTTTCACATGTATACATTACTGAAACAGCAACGTCTACGTTGACTTGGGCATGTCGTGAGAATGGCTGATGGTTGGATTCCAAAGGATCTCCTGTATGGAGAATTAGTGCAGGGAAATCGCCCGAGAGGGAGATCACAGCTGCGATATAAAGACATCTGCAAGCGGGATCTGAAGGCCTTAGGAATAGACCTCAACAGATGGGAAACCCTGACATCTGAGCATTCAGCCTGGAGGCAGGCATTGCATCACGGCCTCTCCCAATTTGAAGAGACCCTTGTCCAGCAGGCCGAGGCCAAGAGGCAGTCCTAAAAGCAGCCAAACCAGGGAGCTGGGCAGGAGACAGATTGTACTTTTCTTCAGTGTGGAAGGGATGGTCACTCTCGAATTGGCCTCCTCAGCCACACTAGACGCTGTTCCAAGTCCTCCATACAGAGCATGTGGCCATAGTCTCTCGTGATGGAAGGAGGCCTAATCCTAATCTAACCATTTCTACAGAAACACTGGGGTGCTAAATTGTCTGCCAATCACCGTCCTATGCCATTCTTTTGTGTTGGTGATGTATCAAGCGCTGCCCCATTATGGGGTTGGTTCCCTAGCACTGAGTCATCTTGGCCCTCCCCTAAAGACGTTCTTTTCACTCAACCGATGTCGAAGGAGAGCCACTCTGCTTTCACCGAGTGCTTAAGATGCCGTTGAGTTTCTTGTTCAGCTCCTTGTTCCCAGGACAGAGTGATGCTCTCGTTTCTTGACACTATCACCCAAAGCTCTCTGCTCCGTTAATGAAAACTTGGCACTGGGAACAGCAGAATTGGAGAGAAAGAATTTATCGGTGTAGCTTTAATTGCAGTGTCATCTAAAGTGTTGCATGTTTGTATTAGTCAAACGGAACATGAAGTCGGGCCATCTGCCAAGCGCTCTCCTCTGCCAAAGATTTTTTCCACAAATATAGGAGTGAACGATTCATTCTAATAACAAGGCTGCTCCGCTGAGCTTCGTTCCCACAGAGGTAGAACGCTAGCACAGCGCTGAGACAGATGACTTCACATCTTGGAACAAGGCAAATCTGCCATAGATGTAACTTTTAAGTCCCATCTGTTTTTAAAATTCAGTAGCTTAAGCATAATAATTAGATTTTAACATGGTAAGAACCTACTGCGTTTTGGCATGTCTCTTTTTTAAATAAGCCATGAGCTGCTTTGGGTCCAAGACCTGAAGGTAAGGTGTCTTCTTCAGGTTTGCTCTGATTTTTGATATTAGAAGTTCATTATTTGTACCACAATCTACTCCTGATCTTGTTTTGGCAGCAAGAAACGGAGCTTCTCCATCTTACATTTTCTATTATTTACTTGATTTCTGCATTGGCCATCTGGGGATGTCCGTATGTACAGTTATCTCCTCGTATTTGCAATAAACAGGTTGTTGGCTTCACAAGATTATGTGAGTCAGCCTCTTGGTTCATCTTTTTCCCCCTTGTGATCTGTAAAAACAGCGATCCTAGTACAGACTTTTAACTCCACTCACCCCAACGTATCTGTTCACTTTTAGAATTTTTGGCTTATCTTGTTTCATACTTCTGACATTCCAAGGTGTGGCCATGTGCTTTCCAGAACTCTAGACTTTGACTTTTACACCTGTGCAAATCAGAAGCTGAAAGCCCTTTCAGCGTTAGTCTGGTTACTTCATTAAGACAGAGCTGATCTTCGCTCTTCTCCAGTAGCTGACGGAGTGCCTTCCAACCTGGGAGTCCCATCTTCCAGCACTCTCCCTTGTTTCATTTTTTATTGCCTCATCAAAAGGTTTTCAGAACTTAAAGCAGTCACAAGTGGTTTGCTGGTGCCTTTTTCTGCACAGTATGGACAAGAGGTAGATTGAGTGTCCACTGCCATGATGTTCTCTGAAGTCACCTATCACAATCAGTCCTGAAATTCTGGACTTTCTCTAACCCCATGTCCATTGGAACTATTTATTCTCTTCTGCTGATGTGATCATTTGATCCTGAAGCAAATGAATATATCTTAGTCCAGGGTCTTGGCTTTAACTGTTTTGCCTTGAGTAACTCTGCTAGGAATCTAGATTCACAGCCAAGATTAGCTTCCCAACAATATTGCAGTCAGATTATCTAAATTTTAGAAATAAAATTGAATTCATTAAAATGAATTAAAATCAATCACTGGCAGTTCTCTTATTCTTCATCCCCCTTCCCTCCATTTTGATTTGGCCCTAGTTTTTTTCCAATCCCTGATTTTTTCCCCCCAAGTTTTATTTCATTCTTCTTTCAAACTCGCTTATTAAAAAGAAACTCCATAAAAGAGTGAGAAAGCTCTAAATGGATCCACCCGATCTTTAAACTCAATTACGCCTCACAGATCAAATCTGACAGAAGGGCTGACAAAATTAAATGGGTTTCATTCACTGAAACACAACGGCCTTGAGGTCTGTGGGAAATTTGCCTCCTGTAAATAGGAAGGAACTGTGTTACTTTTTAAAAATTGCACCCGGAATGAATTACTTGTTCTGGATTGGATAATACTTTTAAAAAAATCTCTAAAAGATTAGAAACAAGGCAGAACTCTTTAATCAAGGAAAGATGGCATGCCGCGGATGCAGTACCATCTTCATCAGGTTACGAGAACCCTTAGAACTCAAAATGTTGAATTAACACTGTTAGTAAGAGCAATGAAGTATTTTTAGAAAGCAGCCTTTCTTCCACCCCTGCCACAAGGTTTTCCAAATGCTCTTCTTGGCTTTGAATCAAAGCCATTCTAAATGCTTTCTGTCTTCAGCAGAGGAGGTGCGCGCAGAAGAGAGCAAGAGATAATTAAGGCAGTCTGTCTTCTTTACTATTTACAGAGGACGAAAATTTCCATGGACCTGTAGGCAATTGGGCTGCAGTGAATTAAACCAGTCTAATTGTGTCAGCACTGCTGCCGGATCTGATAGGGGAAGTGTAACTGAGTTAAAGATCCGGCGAATCCATTTAAAGCTCACCTTCAAAGAGTCTATGGCTTTAAACTGCAGATCTTGATCTGAGATTCATGGCAAACTTTAATCCTTCTTAACTAGGTCATTTTCTCATTCCCGTGCCTCTACTTATCACGGCTGTCCTAGGGTGTTATAATTGCCATGGCCCCCGGCATGGCTATTGGAAGTTTTATATAATTAGACAATCCATTTCCATGGAAATGTGTGATGTAGTGGATAGAATGCCAGACTATGACTCAGAAGACCTGGATTCGGATACCCAATTGGCTGTGGAAACTCACTGGAAGTGGCAATGATAAAACCACTCCTTAAATATCTCATATATCTTGAAAACTCTTATCTGACGTTGGTTGCAGCCTGATAGCACAGGACGCACTTGTATGAAGTTCTGTTTATTTTGTTTTCAGTGGCTCCCTGTCCTTATCGACAAATACAAAGAGTTTGGAATTTGGTTGAATGATTAATTGGGACGGAGTAAAAATCCCAGTGGAGATAGCATAAGATGCAGAAAACAGCAAGGATTCAAAGTTGCTTTGAGAACATCAATTGTACTGTGCTATGGATTCTTCGCTGGCCGGATAGCTCAGAGGTTTAGGTATCTGGTTGCGGAGCCAGACGTTGTGAGTTCGATTCCCCACTGTGAAGGCTGCATAGTCCAAGCGCACCCTTAGAGTTGGCTGCATGTGGGCATAGCTGTCTGTGGGTTGGGTGTCCCAAGACCCATGGCCGCCCTAGATACGAGACCACTTCCTGCATCACTCTTTGGCTTGCCCCATAGCTGGCAAAAGGGTGTGTAAAACAGGGGCGAAATTATCAAGGCTATGCAAAACCATAGGGGGGGAAAAAAGCAAGTTTGCAGAATTCATACGAGAGAACTGGTCTTTGTACATAGGTTATACAGAATATGGATTCGCTTAACACAAAGCCTCAATATTTCTGTAAGTACAGAAGATACACACAAGTGGGTTATATCTTGTGGGTGGGAATGGGGGAAGAGTAAGTAAAAGTTAAAAACACCATGAAGTCAAACATATACATATTTTTTTGTAGTACTGAAGACTCTTAAGCACCAGGAAATACGGGGAAAGTAGAACCTCAGTACAAAAATATTGTAGCTGGCAAAACCAATCAGGGAATGCAAAGCAGTGACATTTTGGCCAGTTGAGTAAAAAAAGAAAGAAGGAAAGAAAAAGGCTTCAGTCTATCTATTTCAAAAAGAAAGAAAAGAAAAAACTTATTATTAAAATGGATAGAGGCTGCCCTTAATTTTCTTTGTTTTTTGTTTAAAAAGTCCTTCTGCCTTCACCTTAATGACCGGCGGAGGTCTCCCTTTGTGCGCAGAGTCCGAAAAGCAGAATGACTGATACTTTATAACGGTAGCACCCTCGGTTTCCTACAAAGCAAAAGATCAAATACCAGACCACAAGTGAGCCCAAACAGAACGGTTGTGCTTACATCACGCTGAACGAGAACAGAGGAACACTCAAAAAGTTTGCACTCCGAAGACTTCTGACCACATGTACAGTTCTACTGGAAAGAAGGAGGGGGAGAGGCTGGGTTGAATCACAGGCTTTCTTGGCAAGTGTTTTCTTTTCTTATGCTTTTTCCCCCCTTTCTGTCCCTGCTTCTCATTCGTCTTGCTTCCTCTTGGGCTTTTTGGGATTCCGAGAGCGGCTTTTCGCTTTACACAGAGGGCAGATGGGCGCGTTACGGTGGATTTGCTGGTGGCAGGACAAGCAAGCCTGAAAAAGAATAAAAAGCAGGGCCTGAATCTCCGGGTACATGGTCTAAGCTGTCATGCTATCTTGTAACTCTGCATTTCACTCCAGCTAAAAAGCCCTTCTCTCTGCTTCAAACCTTTTGTGATTCCATTAGGACCAGGGGTGTTCCTGTTAGGTGTGCGTCTGTAGTCTCTTCACCTGGAGCATTGCAACCTGACCGAGAAAACCCCCAATCATTCAGAGCAGCACCCTCTTTGCACTAGAATTTAGGGGGTGGGGTGAACCCGATGGGCAGTAGACTGCAGGCCTAGCTCTGCCTAGCTTCCTGTTCAGAAAGAAAGCTCCCAGCTAGCCCTGGGGCAGGAACAGGAAGCTTAGGCAGAGGTAGGCCGAGCTTGGCCTTAAAGCCTCCCAGTCAAGGCCTTTCTCCCAGGTGAGCCACATTTAGTAAAGTGCTTGTCAGGTAGAACTCGCAGAATGGAAAATTATGAGATTTGGAATCCAAAATTTAAAAAACAAATAAGAAATCCCATCTCTACCAGAAGCTTCTAGGACTGACAATTCTCCCTCCTCCCCACACCAGCCAGAAGAGCGTATATGGGGAGGAGGCGGGAGGAACTTAGCGGGGGACCGCGTGTTTCCCAACCTTTCCCGTAAGTTTCGTTTTGCTGCTAGACCGTCAGCATGACACCACGGCAGGCCCTCACCTTCATGGGTGGTGGCTGCTGCCTGAACGTCGCTGTCTGCCGAGTGTCCTGTTTCCTCGCCACCTGCAGCTGCTGAGCGGCCGCAGCCGCGGCCGCCAACGATTCAGGGATCGGCGGCTCCTGAGGCTCCGTCTGCCACTCGGCTTTCTGCTTTTCAAAGTAACTAGACCGAGAAGGTGAAAACAAGAACAAGATTGTGAAAGACCTGCAGTTTTAGGCAACAAAGCCGGTTCGTTTGTTTGTTCGAATCAGGATCGTCTTTGTTGGTTCCATGAAAAATGGGCATGAAATGGCAATGGCATTAAAATGTAACAGTGCTAACGCAATGGGAGCGAAGTCTGTTTCCTCTAGAGGCATCAAGGGACATTACTCCCCTCGCAAAGAGGATTAACCGAGGACGAGTTTCAGGTGAAATTCCCAGGCCTTGAAAACACTCAGACAAACATAAGGAGAAAAGGAACGCTCCAAGAACCGTCCCGTGCAGGCAGCCTATGATCATAAAGACCCCGATCCTGGCCTGGGGAACCTTTGGGTTACCAGATGTTCACAGAATTATAGAATTGTAGAGTTGGAAGGGACACCCGGTGTGGTGGAGTGGATAGAGCAATGGATAGGACTCAAGAGGCCCGAGTTCAAATCCCTACTCAGTCATGGAAACTCACCAAGGGAGTGGAACTGGTAAAATGACTCCTTAATATCACACTTACCTTGAAAGCCCTATTAAGTTGGTTCTAAGTTCATGGCACAGAACATAACAGAGCTGGAAGAATTAAAGCCAGCAGGATATAGTGGATACGCTGATGGACTAAGACTCAAGAGATCTGGGTTCAAATCCTCACTCAGCCCTAGAACCTCAGTGGGGCTGACTCCTTAAATATCCCATGTGTCTATATCCCGTTATTTCCTATTCCTTTGAACTGCAACCAGAGATGCTTGGAGGAATCAGCATCTATCGTTCTCAGACAGACACAGGTGTGATGCTACTGGCAGAAATGGCAGCCCGGGGTTGAGTGCTTCCCACCTGAGCGAACACCAAGCAGATCAATCCGTCTGATGCCCATCACCCACCTAGTGTGCATTCCCACCCACCCAACGCCAGGCATCATGGAATGAAAACAGAGGTAGCTGTGACTGCCCTGAAACCAGTCCTGAAATCCCTACTGCAGAAATACCCTTGTGACACTAACCAAAAAGGCACAAAAAAGTGTGATCATACAGATCACAAATCCTCGCAGTTTGCACGGTGCATTATGATTCACCCTGATTTATTCCTTTACACCAGGAGTCAATACAATTCCCCATCTAATCAGCTTTCAAAATGGCTTTTCGTTTATGTTTTAATAACAGATGTGTCGTTTCTTTTAAAAAAAGACAAGTATTATAACACGTGGGGAAAGCAGAGAACTTTTTAGACTCCTGTTGTAAGCTGACATGAGTCCTAGTTTTTTTTTTGGGGGGGGGAAGATGGGTCACAGATCCAACAAACGGGCAAAGCAAGAGATGCATGAGCTTACTCAAGAGAGAGCTTCTCTTCCTCCTCACACAGATCCGGCAACCTCTGCAAGCCCAAAGTCATCCTCAAGGCGTCCACGTGCTCCTTCAGTGGCTTGTACTCCTCGTGCAGACGACGCGTGGATTCCAAGAGCTTGTTGAGGTCATTCTCAGACTGCTTGATGGTGTTCTCCATCTAGAACGGGAGCAAGGCAGAGTTGGTGGAGGAGGCGTTGCCTTGATGCACAGCGGGATGTGACACGGGGCTGAACACAGGGCCTGCTTCATTCAGGGGAATGTTGACAGCGTGGGGCAGTGGCTAGAGCACCAGACTGGGATGGCCACTGAGCCTTGAAACTCACTAGGTGACCTTGCGCCCGTCATTCCCTCTTGGACTGGCTAACCTTGCAGGGTTATTCTGAGGACAAAGAGAGCCACATGCTCTCTCCTTGTTGAGCTCACAGCCAGAAAGGCAGGATATAAATCTAACATATAGACGAATAAATAGTCCAAGGGACCAAGAAAAAAAATTCAGAATGGGGATTCATCAGGGCTGTGCATGTTTTGTGATCCTGAAGGAATGAAGAAGTGGAACAATAAGTGCATTATGCTGGGCCACTGTTTCATGTGGGGCAGAAATAATTACAGTAGGACCCTTCTATCTGCAGGATTGGTATCCATGGCTTTGCTTATCTGCGGTCTGTCAATATTAAAAATGTTAAAAGAAAAAAACAGAAATATGTATGTCCACAATGTAATTACAAGAACTAGCCATCAGAGGGAGTGATAGAGCAAGCTAAGTATCGGGTGCACTGTTATCTGCAGGTTTTGGCATCTTTGAGAGGGGCTTGGAACTGCTCCCCCACGGATACCAGGGGGGTCCTACCGTCTGCTTAATAATATTTGCAATCAAAATTATGGAAAATTGACCTAAATCCAACTGATTCATCGAGTCATGTTATAGGTGGCAGGTCTTACCAGTCTTCAGTCATATTCAAGTTTTAGTTCCCCTTATTCACTTTATTACCTAGGAATAGGTACGTGTAACTGAATTACATCAATGGCACTTTAAAAATTAAGAATGATGTTAGAAAACAAAACTCAAGGGCTCCACTTTGCTTTTTGTCTGTGAAGCGGTGAGGCAGGACCCCCCGCACCAAAAGGAGGAGGGCTGCTGAAGGTGTGGCTCTTCTGGACTACAAACCCCACCATGCTTCACCACTCGGGATGGGATTGGCTTTTCAATCACATCTGGAGAGCACATACACCTTCTCCACCCACAGCTGTGCCTTGCCTTGCTGAGAAACAAGTCCCGTGGGCTGCGAAAGGGGTTACACTTGCCCAGTCACCATGCGGGCTGGGGGACTATGGGAATTGGAGTCCAGAAAACCAATATTCCCCCCCACACACACTGTCTCTGTTCACTTACGACGTTGATGTCGGCATGGATGAGTCGCAGCTCTTCCACGTGCGCCATCTTCTCCTGCAGCAGAAGGTCCATCTCCTGCTTGTACTCCTTCAGATGCCTCTCTTCCGACTCCAGCGCCTCAAACTCAGCCTTCAAGCGGGCCTTGATCTTCTCCATTTGCAAAGTCTTGTTTCTGGCCGGGGAAGGGGTTAGGAGGAGGAAGAAACCACATGGAGAAGATCAAAGCATTCAATGGCTCTTCTAGGCTGCCAAGGTGAGGCGGACATGGGCACAGGTGGAGCTAAAAGTGGCACTCTGCCCTGTTGGCAGGGTGTATGTCTGAGAGACAGAGAATGTGAGTGTGAGAAAAAGAACAAGTGGACATGAGAAAGTGCAACAGAAAGAGAGAGGGAGGAAGGGAGGGAGGGCAAGGATCCTGTTGAGTATTTACCTGCATGGACCATCTGCTGTGAAAGCTATATGTGGTCACGAACTTGATCCTGTGACCCAGTTGTACCACTGCCTGCACACTGGCAGGGCCACACACACCCCAATATTGATACAAGACACCAGGCAATGTGTGTGCAAGAGAAAGGAGGATGTGTAGAGAACAGAAGAAAGCCGAGAGGGTGGCTTGAAGAAGGTGCTCACCCGGTCGATCTCTTGGTGGCCACCGCTGGTTGGCTTTCTTCTCAGAAGGAGAAGACCAGGCATCTGGTTGCCCATGAACGGTGTACTCAGATGGGCAGCGGCTGTCCTGGGACTCAGACAGAGATTTCCCCCAGTCCGCTTTGGAAATGCCAGGAACTGAATTGGGGACCGAAAGGGAAAGCCTGCACGCTGCGGCCGAGTGACAGCCCCTTCCCTTGTTGGATCCTGTCGCTGTCGCTCCTGCCACATCTAAGCCGGCAACCTCTTCAAAGCGGCCCCGTGACCTGCGCTGCTTTAGGTACACCGCTTCTGTCTTCATGCGGCCTCGTTAAAGCTTCAATGAGAGACCCACTGAGCTCTCCGCTGCCCTCAAATCCTCAGCTGCAGACGTGATCAGAGATGACGGCGGTGCCCCTGTTCTCATTATGAAGGCTGGGGGTCAAGGTTCCTTTCGCCCACCCGAGAAAGCGTGGGAGAAAAAGTCCTCCCCGGAGCGCCATCTCTGGTCTCCTTTTTTTTTTTTTACCTTTCCCAAGACCTTTGGATAAATGGGAAGATGAAAGCCAGTGGGATGGTAGTCTTACATTGAGGGCATAGAATTGTAGAATAATGAAGTTGGAAGGGGCCAACTCCTTGCTCAAGGCAGGAATCCAAATCAAAGGATATCTGTCAGGTCGTTGTCTAAGTTTCTCTTGAAGCGCTGGAGTGCTCACCACCTCCCGAGGTCAATGGTTCCATTGTCATACCACTCTAACAGCTAGGAAGCTTTTCCTTGGATTCAACCGAAATCTGGCTTCCTTTAACTTGACCCCACCATTGCTTTGTCCTGCACTCTGGTATGATTGAGAACCTGGGGGAAAATGCTAAATTGATGCTTTTGATGGACTATTTCTCCCATTATCCTTCCCCACTGGCCAGGTCAGATACATCTGATGGGAGCTGTGGGCGTGTGATATCTGGGAGGCTGAAGGTTCACATCCCATCTCCGATATTATTATTATTATTTGATCCACACACACGCATATATATAACAAGCTCAAGGCAAGAGTACACAGCCCACACCATAACGCTCACAACATCAAGGCTCACTGGTGACTCAAACTCTACACTGCATTACTCTTCAATTATTTAATAACTCAACACTCAAGAAGGACAGAGGAGGAGAGAAGACCACTGTGCTCAATAAAATAGCCTTTGGTTTGCTGTCAGATAGTCCCAAGCTTATTTATTTATTAGTTACTTGTTTATTAGTTAATTAATCCATCTTTCCTAGTTACCTAATCTGCCCGTCCTGGTCAAAGTAGGCCAGACTTGGAATGTGGGGCTGATCCCAGGTTGCACAGAGTTCTGTGATTCAACATGGGCTTCACAAAGGCTCTCCCAAGTTCCAGCACTCTAACCACTACACTCCATGACTTCATCCTTACCGTCAAAAGCAAAACTAAACCTGAAACAGAGGATTCCCCCAGTTTATATCCTTGCCTGCCATCCCCAGACGTAGAAAACCTCAAACCATACTGCCTTTTGTTATGGCTCTTTCCAAAATAATTTTTGAAAATTTCTGCACACACGGGCACACCTTCCAACGTTGTTCATTTTCAGAGCTTCTCGTGTCAAAGCTGTCCGATGCCTGCCGGTCCAAAAAAAGGAAGTTCCACTGAATTTAATGGAACTTGCACCCAAGTAACAGTAGTGTCATTTGTTACAGGCAGCTGCAACCAGCTTTAGGTGTTTACAATATTTTCCATTTTTCTCCCTGCAGTCCTATGCACAGTTACTACAGAGCAAGATTCCTAAAAACCCAATGGATCTTCCTTCTGAGTAATCTCCCATAGGATCATGCCACCTCTCTCTAATGGAGTGGGATTCCATAGGGAAATCTCTCTAAGGATAGCAGAAAAGCCTTTTTAAAAAAGAGAACAATTTAGATTTGAAACCCATGCCATGTTTCTCCGGCTGTAAACAGTCTTTATCCAAATCATCTATAAACAGCAAGACTACTAGTAAGAAACAAGACACCCCTGAACCTGGGCGATTCCAAATAAAGCTTTGTGCTCATCACACACTCAACCGTGTGTTGTTTTGAGAAAGAGCACCAGGAAATATGTAAGGCGGCTTTTGTGTGAGGGGCACAGACCCTGGCTAGCATTTCTCGGGCACATGAGGATCCTTCTCCAATAGGCAAAAAGAGAGAGAGAGAGAAAAGGAATGGAATAGAGACAAGGAATTTATCCTGCAACCCTGCACAAACGGTGGACCAGGGAGTAAGCACCTCCTCACCTTATCGGACTTCATAAACAGCCATACAGTCATTAGAGCATCTCCTCTCCAGCAGGATGATAGGAAAGCAGAGGGCCACGAAAATAATAAGCACAGCAGCAGCGGTTGAATAAATCACAGTGATAGTAACAGTAATAATAGGAAGAACCAGATCATCATCAACAACAACAATAATAATAATATCAGGCCATCCTCTCCCACGTACCCATTCCAGGTGAAAGCAACTGCGCATTTGGCTTCCTTAAAACACCCCCCAAATCAGTGTGGGGGTTTTTGCAAACACGTCCCCGCCAATTTTTAGGGCTTGATTTCTGATTTTTTTCGGCTGGACCCGTTGGTCCCCACCCCCACCCCATCCTTGCAACATCCATGCTGAGAAATAATAATATTAGTAACAATAACAATAACAACAACAACACGCCAAGCCTCTACCTGATTTCTTTGATGCTTTCAAGTTTGCACATGATTTCTTGCTCATCAGCCATGCTTTTTTTTTTGTGCGAGCTCCCCCCCCCACTTTTTTTTTTCAAGGATGCAACCCTCGCGCGAAAGGTGCAAAAGGATGCTAAAGGGGGAAAGGCAGGCGGGCGCGGAGGAGGAGGAGGAGGGGGCGAATCCCAGGGAGAAGGAGGGAAATCCGATACAAAAGAGACAATGTCGCTTTGCTGGGCGCAAAGGCTGTAGTAGGGGTGTGTGTGTTTGGGGGGGCGAGGCAGCAAAACCTCTTGGGACTTGGAGTCCGGCGCTGGATAGCGGGCCAGGTTCCCGCAGGCGGCGCGGACTACAAGGCCCAGCATGCTCAGCGCTCAGCTCTGCCCGGGCTTCTCTCTTTCCGGCGATCGAGGCTCCGTCGTTCCATTTGTCACATTGAAATACATGTACATCGAAGGTGGCCGGGAGCGCAAGGCGAATTGGGGCGGGGGGGGGGCGCTCCTTGCAGCCAAATCCACCACCACCACCACCACCACCCGGAATAAAGAGATTTTAAAAAGGGACATTTCCAGCAGGCAGGAGCGCCTTCGCTTTGGGGACGCGTCTGTTTCTTTTTTTTTCTTCCAAAAAAGAAATATGATTGCAGAATGAAGGGTTCGCCTGCTGCTGCAAATGTCAACACAAGAAACAGACAGAAACCCACAACAACATGGATACTGTTGCATCCCGTGTTGATTCTACAGAACGCAACAAAATTACACCAACTTCCTGCAGGTTTTCTCGAAGGCTTTCACGGTCGGGATCCGACGGCTCCTGCACGCTTATGTCATCTTTTGCTTCTTTTTAACACGCACACGCGTGTAAAAACAAGCACAGGATGAAAGGGACAGGCAGGGAATTCTGTAAGCCTGGTTAAATTCTAGAAAAGCAACATCTGTAACAGGTAAGCAAAGTCTGATGATTTCTCTGGGTAACCTAGTCAGTTTCCAGGGGGAAATTGACCAGCTCGCCTCTGGCCCTCCAGGTGGAATTTTGGACTACAACTCCCATGACCCCGTTGGCCACATTAACTAGGGGAGACCAAAGTAATACTCTGTCCACCTTTTGAGGGTCAGCCTTTCCTCTCTCCTGCTGTTGAGGGGCCAGAATCTTAATTGGATTCCTGTAAGGTATCTGTAACTATAACTTGCCGCAGCTAACTGTGACTAATTGAAGAGGTGTCTCTCTCCCCCCCCCCGCCACCAGCTTGGTCACGTGGCTGCAAATACACCTGACTGTGGAACTGACGTGCACCCCTCCAGTACACAAGGCTTAAGCAAGACCAGTGAGATTCACTCTCTAAAGATCACTTCGTGGGGTGACATCGGGTGTGCTGCCATCCTGCCAAGTCAGTCCTGCTCTCGTTCCTTCCAAGAGACCAGCTTCCTCCAATTTCCAGGACACACATTCCTCTGAAGTGAGATTTAATTAGAGGGATTACAACTGATTGCTTGAAGTGGGTTGATGGACATTATCTGGCAGTGAAAATTTCCCTTGGTTGCTAAGACACTGAGACAGAGAGAGCGAGAGCGAGAGAATATCAGGTTGAAGAGACAGTGAGAAAAGATGTCACAAGGATGGTAAATCATGGCCTCCATCCTTTGCAGCTTACCTTTTTTATTAGTCCTACACATTTTTGTTATTCCTATTGTTTTTCTCCCAAATCAGCTGTGGTTTTCTCCCCCAGTTTCATCATCTCATATGTGAATGAAAAGTTACTCAGGTTCCTTTAGCAACCAGCCTACTGAGACCGCCGTCATTAACACAAATGAGTTTAATCACATTGCCTCTAAGGAGAAGCCTCTAACTGGCGTGTACAATTAGGCACACTGATGTTGATTCTAAAAATGCAAAAAGAAACGAACCCAGAGGGGTTTGAACTGTAGGATTCTTTGCTAGCTATTCACTCAGCTGAGTTCACTCAGTTGAGCAATAAGAGAAGGAAAAAGTTGTTGCAGATTTAGAGAAAGTTTTCATGCCCTCATCCGGGGAATTTGAGGTATGCATGTAGGTAGACTGTACTGTATAGGATCAAATTAGTGTAAAGAATTTCTGCCTCAGTTGCTTTCCCCTTCTTCTGGCTGATAGACAGAAGGATCACTTTCCCTTAACAGTCTTACGCTGATCATGATGGAACAACCTTCCAGACTATTATGTTGTTTCACATGAAGGGTCAATTATTTTGTTGTTTAATTTTAGTTTTTCCCTAACGAGAAGAAATGCTTATTGAATGTTTCTAGAGCTTGCTGCTGAAGAAGGCTCAATGATTTTTGCTAGCCAGATTATGCACACAACGCTAATACTGGCAAATGGCTTTTAAGCTTTTAAGCTTGGCCCCAGTAGACATTGATTTGACTTGGCAACAGTCATCCGTACCTTAGCTATGTCTAATCTTGACTACTTCAGTGCACTCAACATGGGGACACCCTTGAAGAGTGTTCAGCCACTTCCGTTGGCAGAGCATGCCACTGCTAAGCTGCAAAGAGGTATAGGTTCTACCACTGTCTGCAGAGGCCCACTTCACGGGGAGAAGTTTCCCCTATGAAAGCATGGCACATTTTCCTCTCCGAGTTGCAGTCAATTCCTGCTCTTGCTATTATATTTTTTTCAGAATGGTGTGAAGACTTATCTCAACAATTTGTTGCTGTTTAGTCATTAAGTCTTGTCCGACTCTTCGTGACCCCATGGACCAGAGCACGAAAGGCCCTCCTGTCTTCCACTGCCTCCCGGAGTTGGGTCAAATTCATGTTGGTAGCTTCGGTGACCCTGTCCAACCATCTCGTCCTCTGTCGTCCCCTTCTCCTCTTGCCTTCACACTTTGCCAACATCAGGGTCTTTTCCAGGGAGTCTTCTCTTCTCATGAGATGGCCAAAGTACTGGAGCCTCAGCTTCAGGATCTGTCCTTCCAGTGAGCACTC